GTAATCGTTACATCGAAACGAGCTACCTACTTGGGATTATTGGTCTCTATATTCCAATCGTGGAGAAAACAAACGAAGACTACTTGTTAAAAGCTGAGTGGAATCGTAAGTGCGACACATTGAGCCTTTCGTTTGTCAAATCGATTAACTCTACAAAACAAAAAAATGTAAATTTATTTTAAATATAAAAATTTGAGTATCAATCGAATGCTTTGCGGTAAAAAATTTAAAAAATTTTAAATGCTGAGTTAATTATTTTGGACTGTGAATGGCTTACACAATTTTCATACTGATATAAGATTATTGAAATGTCTTCAGACACAGTATACAAATCCATATGTAAATTAACTCTTACCGTGTAAAGGTTTTTTCGATACCTTAATTGCGTAAACCAGGGTCGTTCGTGATACTATGTCTCTCAGTGAATAATAGTTAAGAAAAAAATTTGGTTTAGGTAAAAATAGGTAAGAAAAGTATTTGGTTTAAATATGTTATATTTGAAGCTTCGTTTGTTTACGAGGAAAACAATTATATTGGAACCTCATTTATCCGAATCAGGGATGAACTGGAGAAAATTATCAAGATTCTGGGAAAAATTGCTATTTTCATTTAATATTTATATTTCATAGAAACTTTAAATATAGAGGATCATTTTCTCTTTTTTTATATGAAAATAGTGTTATTTAATCATTAGAAAAATATAATTATTCGAATATCAAGATTGGTTCGGATAATCGAAGTTTTATTTTATTTGAAAATTGACGACCTTGATTTAAGATAAAAATATTCAAATAAAGAAATTGTTGAATAATAGAACAACAAATTTTCTGATATTAAATTTCATTTATTTAAATAGAAGTGAATTTTTTTATAAGAGTTTTGTTAGACAACCATCGCTGGCTTTAAAATTTGGGTTTCCCTTCCATCTTTTATTCAAGTCTAAAGCTTTCTCGTGTACCATAGACTTAGAAATTGCTACGTCTTTGTCCCCTTGTTGTCGAAACCATTGGAATACAATATCGTCTGTACTTTTACTTCTTCAATCCACTGAGATTTTTTTGCTATTGCCAGCCTAAGACATTTGACTCTCTAATATTTATAATTATAAATTTTCTGACAAAACAGTCTTTCCTAATTTTAGTGAATTTTTACCATTTTTAATTTCTTCAATTATTTCGTATTTTAATCTGTAGAACAAATATTATTTTTCCTGATTTTCATGAACTTTTACAACTTTTGATTTCTTCAACTAATTTGTCTTTACTTTAACACATAGGAATACAAATGTTTGTTTAGCCGCTTTTGTGACAAGAGAACTGTCAATTTCATACCAAATTCTTATGATTGACATTTGTATCTAAATGTTTTTCAGATAACAAAGCACTCGCATATTGAGGTATTTGAATAACGAGGGCTCTGCTGTATTAATAAAAAAATATAAAGATATTCTTCGTACAACATGGTAATTATATAATACGCATTCGCTCAAACATGATCCAAGAATCGAGGAAATCCCCGTACAGCAGTTCATAAGTTCAGCAATTGAGCAAATGAGGAAGCAATGAATTTTTCGGAAGTGTTGCAGAAATCCCCGCACAGCACGGTTCGAGTACTAAGTACATCATAAAACATGCTTTGAGAATTAAGGAAATCCCCTCACAAGACGATAAATAATAAGCCTATGCTCATCTTGAATAACAAGTACCAGCACTTTGAATTTTTCAAAATAAACTATGCACTGAATAATGACATTAGAGAGATTCTCTCTGTTTTCCTCCAAGTCCCCTGAGCAACGCACAGTGCTCAGAGTGAACATATTAGCAATAAGAAAGGCAGTCAGTGTATCCTTGCCTCCGTCTGTGTGTAGTGGTAGGTGTAAAATTGGACCATATCGGCAACTAACCGTACTTGGTCGATAGTCACTTGCCTTATCTCTAAATCCTCTAATGGCCTTGTAGACCAGTAAGGTCAACAGTGCAACAGGAAGTAAGCTGCATCAGTAGATCCTGATTAACGTAATATGAAAATTTGCTATCATACTTTGGATCTTTCATTATTATAACATGATGTTTTAGCATAAAAACTTCGGTTATTTTTATTACAATATTTAAACTTCTCTACATAAAAACTCTACATACCGCAGCAAAATTGGACCATATACGCAACTATGGTACTTATTGTTAGTCCCTGGATGATTACCTGTTTTATCTCTTAGTTCTTAAATGCTCGTGTAACCCAGAGAGGTCTACCATGCAAAAGGAAATTAGTAGCATTAGATTTTTAGTCAGCGTAGTACGAAGATTTGGTCCGGTATTTTGGATCTTGACATTATTATAGTTGTAAGAGGAATCTTTATTTGGATGGCGTCACCCTGCATCGAAATCTATCTTTGCTTCAAGGAACTGTCTAGCTTATCAATTCTCGAAGCAAGGTTGAGTGACGCAATGGGTTGTCATAGAGCCTATAAAAACCTAGCTGAAGGGTTCGACGGGACACACTATTTGATAGTCCACCGTCTACAACACGCATCATAGAAAACTTCGAGTCTCCGTTTATTTTATATCGTCAAAAAATATAAGATATATTCAGAATCTAAAGTCCCTTTTGATTTGGTAATCCGATTTTTACCACAAAACAATGATTACTGCCTACTTATCGACTATTCCTGCTATGTTGTAGATTCAAAGGTTAGAAAACGAACACAGTGCTTCACGTATTCAATGAGACGGTAATTTTAATTATGAATAAGGAAAATGAGGGATATAATATAATTTATACAGATACACTTTTAATCCAATGACTGAAGAACGGTTCGACCCCTCACGTCTATATGCAGCGAAAAATGACGAGTACAATCGGTCATCGAGTGATAGACTTATAATACTACTTTTAAGTAATTTTGCTTCTTTTTTTATACATGCTGGAGGGTTTGGTAAAATTAAAAATAGTCAAGAATATCACTTTCTGTAGAAACGTTCGGCTGTTCGAAACGTGTGCCCCTCGTATAAAGAATGGTACAAACTGAAGAACGACTGAAGCTTTCTTGGTCTGGCGGCGTGCCCATGTTTATTTAACTTGGAGATGTTATCTGTACCACGAGAAGCAATACTATCTCCCAGGTAGCACGTGGCCTATTTGGAGACACACAATCCCATTCGAGATATTCATACTTGGCCGAAATTAAGACCACAAGTCAGACTCGAGATATTCATGTTTGGCCCGAAATGTCAATTACGAGTCTGACTCGTGATATTCATGTTTGTCCTAAAATTATCATCATCAGTCAGATTTGTAAAAATAGTGTAAAGGATTAACCAAGTCCACTCTTCCCCACCCCATATACAATTGTTATTTGTTTTGTCTCTAAATCTTGCTACAGCTTTGTAGGTTAATCAGATCTGGAATGCAACAGGAAGTTAGATTAGGTTTCTGATCAAAGTAATACGAAGATTGGTATGCCATTTTGTATTTTATCATGATCATAACACACTTTGGTTTAAACATACATAATTGTTACATCTTTCAGAAATCTTCAATTTTTATTTCTCATGTTCAAACTTCGCCAAATGTACATGCGCTTTGTACGTGATAAGAGGATTTAATTGATAAGAGGAAATTAACAGTATTTAGGTTGTCAATAGTTATTTGTTTTGTCTCTAAATCTTGCACAAGCCATGTAAATATTATATTTTGCACTAGCCTTGTAAATGTTATGCATTTCAGAGATTTCAGAAATGGCTTTTCTCGCGTTTAAAGTTTTCTAGATATATACTCGTTCCGTGATCCTAAATCGCTTCACTTTGGCATATTCGTCGTTTGCAGACATGCAAAGAGATGCAAATTAACCACCACTGTCGAGTTACTTTGAAAGATACATTTTTTACATTCTTATTTCCACAGTGAGGATTAAAGTATTGTGGAAGAGAAAGTTTCTTGAAAATTTGTTTCGACTGTATCGTTTGGTTAATTAAATGCATTTGTACAGAATCATAGATATTTGATAATTATTATTATCGACAATTTGCTTATACAGAGTTTTATGAATGAAAATATACTCATAAACAAATAATTACAGTTCTGTGAAGATTATTCCTTAATACTATAGTCTTTTCTAATACAGCTTATAGGTACTATTAAAAAACACTGGAATAAAGGACTGAACACACGACAATGATTGTCAAGAAACGTATCGAATTAAAGGAAAATTTTTGTAAAGTTTCTTTCGAATTAGACTTTTCAAATTTTTATTTTTTCGACCAAAAGAAATTTCAATAATTTTCAAAATTGGATATGTTTATCAGAATAACAAGTAAACAATTGGAAACGTTGGTTTTAAATATTTAACGTTTATTCAATGAATTTTTTAATAATTTTTGCCTCTCTCTGTCTATCTTAATTTATTATCAGACGTGAAACAAAAGTATTATAACTGTATTATTATAAAGTATTATGACTTAAATTGAAATCGTATGTTTTAAAAGAAAAATAGGAAAGGAATTTACATGTGTTACATATAACAATACATACGTATATATATTTACATTTTACGTTACTGAATTTAAACATAAAATGGTCTACCTATCTGTTTCTTACTGTAAAAATATGAGGTGATAAAAGGAAAAGTCTTTCTCCATTAACTCGGCTTATGTCGTCTGAAAATATCAATAGCTAATTTAGCATTTGATTGAACATTTAATTGAAACATCACGTTCCAATATGAAAGTGCTTTTTAAAATTAAATTCTCTTGCTTGGGTTATAACCATTGATTGCTTTACGTGACCAGTTATTTATACGAATTCTATAAAGAATTATAAGGCGATATCTGAGCAGTATAATCATGCGTAAAAATATCATAATCGCGTATTTGACGGATGTAAATATTTATTTTCTCTATTAATGTTTATGTTCCATCATTTAATCATTATCGCATTATGATAGCGGGGAACTTATGTTTATTAAATAAAGTAAACACCATTTTAATTAATCTGTAATTTATTTTAGCCTATAGTTATAATACTTTGTCATTTACTTGTTGGTTCGTTACAGATTTGTTGCATGATCCACATGTTCTTTGTGTAATTACAGATGATTCGCCATAATTAATCAATGCCTGAATAAATGCCTGTTGATCCGGTGATTAGTAACGCTGCAACAGAATTAATAATATACATGTATATATAATATTCGATAAATTGAACATATTGTAGAAATATTTAATTTTAGAAAAATTAGTATTCAATTAAATAGAGGACATATTTCCGATATTATTTTAATAAAAATAATTAACTAAAAATATCATAAGGCTTTAATTGAAGAATCTCCTATTAATTGTTTGCGAATGATATTAAAAAATGTTATTTTAATAATATTTTATTATTATACTTCTCATAATTGTTTTTGAAGAAAGTAAGTTTTTACTTAGTCAAAATATAATTTAAAATATCATTGGTTTGGCATTATTTCATTTTGTAATAGCAAATAATTGACTAATAATCAACTGATTTACATATTATATTTCATATGAAGGAAGATATACCAGGACCATAGTCAATTGCAACGAATTAAAATAAGGATTCTTTAAACATATCAACAACAAAAATTTTAATTTTCATCAAATACATAAAAAGGGAAAAGCAATATATATACAAATTTATATATCTGAACAGACCGTATACGATACTGAAGTATAGTCAAAGAAAAAGTATAGTATATAAACTGTCTTATATACGACTTAACAATTATTTGCAAGTATTTATTATGCACAGCTTAAAATCTACTTACCACTACTGGCCAATGTTGTCTTGGGTTAAATGGCCCTTGACCAGGGAACGTTGGGAATGGACGTCCACGAGGTCCTGGAGTTGGCATAGTTGGTACAAATGCAAGTGATGCGCATGCCATGGCAAGTATTGCGAAGATAAACATTATAACCTTCATCTTGTATATTTTTTTAGCGACCTGAAAATAATTATTTCAACAATTAATAAATGAAATATACACACGTTATATTTTTAACTATCATATAAATTTAAATATGCACCTCAAATTAAATTTCATATATCTCATGAATAAACTAATTTATTTATTGTAAAATCTAACTAAATACTTTTTGAAATAAATTCGTAAAACATAGAAAAAAAAGATAAAACGTAAATAGGAAATATATTGTACATAAAACGATTAATAACATATTTTATAATATATAATTACAAATTTCAACGAGAAAAAATTAATTGTCCAAGATAAATTTTAGTACTATGATAATGTAAATTTTTAAATATAAATATATAGTATAATTAGTATAATGTAAATATAATACAAATTTATAGCACAATTAAAAAGTTGTAGTTAGGGTTAAGAGTACACTGTTTCTCGAACGAGTGTATATGAATTTACCTCTTTGCGACTGCTTTGAGATATTTTCTTTCGATGCTGAATGAACAACGTTCAGGCGTTTATATACTACTCACGTTGTGCAAGAATTCGCACTGGTACATATTTACTTGCTCTCTCACGAGCAGATTACGAAGAGCGTGCGTATGTGTAATCCGCACTTTGTTTCAGGGGGAGTCCGGTCGTCTTTCTATCTCGAACAGTTCACAACAAGTCGACACAATGACCTGTCTTATCGTCTTAACGACAAATAGTAATATGTATAAGATATTATACGTTTACACATATGCGGGAATTCCTGGAGAACGGACTTTCCTCAACTGTTCTTCACCGTGCGTTGAATGACTTGGTATCTATATGTGTCTCCGCAAGTGGAAGAGAGGAGGTCAACATTTAGAGACGATGCGATATTATGAAGTAAACGACGCAATCCATTCTATTGTCCTAAGCAGAGAAGGTCATTTTTCTGTCATTAAGACAGAAGAAAATTCGTTTATCTCTATTTTTATTTATTTATTGTCTAGTACATGATCTCTACACGTTGAAAGGGATTAATGCGTTTTATTTGCAACTTCGTGAATGTTTAATTTTTATTGTAAGTTCTTTTGTAGTTTTTTGTGTTTTTATTTATAGTTTAATAAGAGTAGAATAATTTTGAAGTAATTTACATTTTGAGTACATTTTGAAGTAAATTACATAAATAATTATTAGTTATTTAATGAATATTGTTTAGTATATTAATTTCCAAATAATTAAAAAATAAAGAAATTATTTAAATATGTGTATACGAAAATTATATTCCTACAGTTTGCTCGTGTGGGGTAGATTAATTATTGAATTCTGTTTTAATCTGTTGAAATTTGCTATAAAATTGTTACAACTATATGTCTCATTTCTTTTAATGTAGAATGTATTGTACAAATTGTATACACTTATAAAAGTATAATATAACATACATTATTCTATTACGTTATTCATATATGTAGGTTTTAGAGTCGGTTGTAAGAAAGTTGTTAGAGCGTTGCATAGTTATTATTGCATTAAACTAATCCGTTATTTTATTAATAAAGTTATTTTTGTTCTATTAAGTGCCGCAATATTATTCTAATCGATCCCTCCCAATATGATCCAACACATAATATTTCGTAATATACGTATAAATATACAACTATTGTATATTTATAAATATTAATATCTATATTAATATACTAAATATGTGGTACTGAGAGCTGAGAAGGACTCTAGCAATGGAAACAGTATTAAGAGCGGTATCGGGTCTGACTTAGGCGTTTAGGGTAACATCTGAAGTGCATGTGGACGGACGGATGACCACGTGCAAGAATTGTATGGATATTTATGACCGGGTCGAGTGCAAGCAATGAACGAAAGTCTAGGAATGTATCCGAGTGTCTGAAGTACGTTTCGTTTCTCTTTTATTTCATTTCCTCTTATTCACCCGTTCATTTCAGGTTTATATATTTTCTTTACATCTTTTCAGATTTTTTGAAGACATCGTTGGACAACGTGGGATGCGTGCGTTTGGCCCGTAAGTAGTGTGGTATTGCGAGAAGTGAAGGACGCTGACAAAGGAACTAGTATTAAGAGTGATAGCAGGGTGAATAGGTATGCAGTGTTACTTCTAACTGAATGCATGGGAACGTTCGGGCCGCTTCTCGAAAATCGAGGAATAATAAACAGTGGTATCGGGTTCGACTCGGGCGTTTAGGGCGATATCTAGAATGCGGACAAAAGAACAAACGATAGCGCGAAAGAATCATTTTGACGGGATATCTATGACGGTAACGATATCGATAAATAAGGGTGCAAGGACGTGGACGAGGCAAAATGCGTGTAGTCGAGACGTAGTGAATAGAGAATCGTGTGTTTGAGAGTTAGAGTTGAGAGAAACCTAGTGTAATATTTTAGTTAAATAAATCTGTTTTGTTATTAAAAAGGAGTCGTTGTTTATTAGACGCGCAGATCTCTGTCAGCATTGGATTAATGTAGCATTAATCCTACAAATATTAATATATTTATAAATATTAATCTTGTCAAAAGCGTTGGTGTCTTCGGAAATCGCGAAAATAAAATATCCGCAACAAGTTTTTGTATCTCCTTTGGAACTTTTATACTGAATCATTTTTTCATCGAAGAAAAGATCCTCAAGTTAATATCTATCCAGATTTTACACTGTTCGCCTAATATAAATACTTCGATTGCACATATCGACATACAAGTGGTATGAACCATGTATAGATTTGCATCTGGCCAGTATATTGCCGTTGAATATTTAAAAATACAATCGTACGATTGAAAAGAAGGGATTAGTCACTGTTCAATTTAAAATGAGACCCGAATGCGGGTGGTTGACGAAAGTTTCTGGTGGTCCTTTTTCAAAGACAAAGTTGGTTGCTGCAATTTTGAAGACAGTTGCAGGCGAAGAGAGGATGGGAAGAGGGTAGAAGATGGGAGTCATAGCAGAATTGTGGGAGGCTCGATGCACTCGAAACGAGGAGCAACGTGGAGTATCATTATACCATTTTTGCTCCCTTGAGTCTTCGAGTTGCAATTAGGGAGCGCAAAGATGAACACCGAGAGACACGAGTGAAAGACAGAAAGTAGGCGGATGCTTGTATCTATACTTCTCCACGATTTTCTACGCACGCGAGTTATCTCTGGCACTGTTCTGAGTTATTCATGCCAAACCACTTGCACGTGTACCACTTTTCGGTATCGGGCTGCCTTTTTCTTCCTCCACTTCCGGTACTCACGGCGACGCAACGCATTAATATTATATCTGCCGTGTACAAGGCCACTTAGGATACCTGTTACTCGTGATCGTCGTTCTATGTACATTCTCGGATCACTGAATATACATAAAGATTCTATAATTTAAAATGCGATTCTATGTAGGTGAGAAGAGAAGAATGTAATTGCTTTGTCACTGATAGTCGCTTGTTTTCACAATGTTGACATGTCAGTAATTCTAACCCTCAATCCTTGAGAGCCATGAAAGATCCTCGTCTGCATTCTTGTAGAATATAGTGTTTATGAAGTCGATAAAGATTTTCATTTTTAATTTTTGTATTGTATCAGTTCAGTTCTTGTTTTAGTTCTTGTCAATGTATTGTATTCTGTATATATGCTAATTTACATTATGTATCTGCGTTACGTTTTATATGTGTGATTTTGAACTCTAAGTTTTGAACTTTGAATCTTAGATATCGAACCTTGAATCTTAAATTTTTAATCCTGAATCTGGAGCCTTGGTTCTAGGCTCTTGGCACTTGGCTCTTGAATTTTTAATCCTAAACCTCGTATCTTGAATCTTGAATCTTGAGTCTTGGATCTTGAATCTTAGCTTTTGAATCTTGAATCTGGAATCCAAAATCTTTCAGCGTGAAACTTAAACTCTGTATCTGTACCTGAGATCTGAGTTCTGATCGCTAAACTCTAAATTTTGAACTCTGAACGTTAATCCAAGAACTCTGAGCCCTGAATTCTCAAATGATAATTCTCAATCCTAGTTTCTTGTCTCTTCTTATATATGTTTATTAGTAAAAGAGTTTCAGATTCGTATATCTTTGACAGTAAATTATCGTTCTCATAGAAACCAGTTATTTTCGTTGAGAAAATATATGTGCTAAACGTTACTGTAATTGCATACTAACAGATCATAGGACAGGGTCGACAATGGAGAAAACTCGGTTCTTAGCACGTCCTCTTCTTCGAGGAACTAATGAAAAAGTCTTTGCTATAGTCCGTTTAATAAGTCGTTGGAAGTTCATCACTCTTTGAATTGGTAGGCCACACGAAAAGATGGATGAGCTTGGACGAAAGACAAAGCTTAGGATGGATGGATCCACAGTTCTTAGTGGGGCTCTAAGTAAACTATACAGTGTGTAGTTGCGGGCATTTTCTGCCAAACAGAAGGCTGAAATTAAAAACATTTTGAGTAATTACGTTGCTTACTTTTCTACTGATATTGTTGTTAGCTAAAGTTCAGAAAGTAACGTGTATTGACGTTCCGAAGCGCAGGAAAAAGGGTGTTGAACGCTTTCCGCTTTAGAGAATTTCTGCATCATTAACTGTAAGTCCATTCACAGCTTTGTTTTTAAAAATTAAACAGTGCAATTTCGGATTGAAACAGTGATATTCGTCATGGTAAAATTTTTATAAAATGGGTATAGGTAATAGATGTAAAATAAAAAATTAAAGAAATACTTTGTTGACTAATATGATTAATTAAGCCGGTAATTATGGAAGTGCTTTAGGTAAAGAATCTCAAAGAAAATGTACTTTTCGTTTATTTTGAATTACAAAAAATATTATATATATATCAAATCTTCTCAAATCGTTGAATAGAACGAGGTGGCCTCATTTATTTTCCAGCAAGATCACAAGATCTAACACCCCCCGACTTTTTCTTGCAGGTGTACTTGAAAAATAATGTGTACGCTGTGCCTCCGACTACAATGGCTAATATGAGGTATCGTATCATCAGTGAGTGACAAAATAACATCAGATACACTACGCAATGTTAGTGAATCATTAATTTTTCGATTCAGAAAGTGTTGTGATGCAAATGGTCGCCACATTGAATCTTTTCTGTAAATTGACAGTAAAATTAAAATATCTCCCAAACTGATACCTTTTAACATAAATAGGTTAATACTTTTGTGTAAAGAATATGGAGAAGCACCAACTGAAGTAATAAAAAATATATGATTCCATTTAAAGAAATTTTAATGACCTTCATATGTCCTTTACACGTCCATCTACAAAAAAAACTAGTAACATCAGAATATGCCTCTCTCAAAATCATTCAACTACATTTGAAACATTTTTCGCTATGCGTAATAATAATGACGTATATCTAGATGGCAATATGTGGTGGACCATCCTGTATATTATACATATGTATATTTTATTATTATTAATTAAATAATATATTATACACAATTATAATGTATATTATATATTATCATTGTTACGAGTTTCTCATATCCACCTTGTACTCGGCATAGTAACAAGTACGAACTATAACTTCCGGAAAATAGTAAT